AAGCTTCAGACGAAGAAGTGAATGACATGTTCTCCCGGCGCCTATCTATACTACAGTCGCACCGGTAGTGACGTCATGGGCTGTCGCCGGCCAACGTGTTGTTGGTGTTTTTTCAATGTATGCTTCAGACACGGGTCACGACGAGGCGTTCCCCATAGCGACCCCTAGAGGACGCAGTGTCTCGTTCCCTACTCAGAGAACCATGGTTACATAAGTAACCTGAGACGTTTTTACTAGTTGAAATTTAATTCCTGATATCAAGAATTCAATTTCTGCGAGTGATGATGTCATTGTTGATATCAAAAATTGCCATTGTTACTAGTAAAAATCCAGTTCCTGATATCAAGAATTAACATTTTAACTAGTGAAAATGTAATTGTTGATATCAAGAATTCATGTCCTGTGAAGGAATAAAAGTCAAAACAGCTTGCCATAATTCTTGTGATTACCTAATTTAACCCTAACCCTAACCTTCACTGACAGCCCAGATTTAGCCTTGTTTTAGCCTAGATGTCTAGACTATGTTTAGACGGCTATTAGACGTCTTTTAAATGCAAAATTGCTTGCTGGGTTTCGGCAACACACTTTCTTATGTAAGAATTGTTACACTTCATATCCAAAATATTAACACCTCCAATAACAAGCTTTACAGTCTGCCGGGAAGCTAAGTTGTATTTAAGATGTGTTTTCACAAGATGAAGCACTCTCATGGAAATGCTTTTCACAACCAAATGGTACATTTCTGCAATTGTCCATTCATAGTCTAGTTTTCTAGCAGCATGTTAACAGCCTATTCAGTAACTAGTTCTTATGAGTGTGACTGTAGCCCTAGTAACGATTACCTCACAATTGTCAAGTTAAGAAAATTAAAAGTTGAGAACAAGCAGATTTCTATTTTGTACACATACATTTTAATTGCTCTTCACTTGAAATATTTGAGTAAGCTAATGTATACACTTAACTTTCATACTGGCTCCAAACTGTTGAATGCTACATATAGAGTATATATACTGTATATATATTAAATGACATTATATATTATTATATATCACAAAAGATTCCGTACACTTCATTATTTATGTGTTGATTATATGACGATTCACTCACAGTGTCTGTGACAATCCTGTGTTTGCCCAAAACTAATGTAATGTAGATGTGGAGTCATTTAACAGATAGCCTGTTAGGATATCATTCCATTTATTTGTGAACATGTTTAATGTTTGTGAATCTCTTTACATTTATTAGTGGATCATAATTTATTTATTTGGAATAAAGAAGCAATTCTAACCCCACAGTAAAACATGTTTTATTTGGTCAACATCTGTAAAATAGGCATCTTATGATATGCAGCATTGACACAGTTTGAACTGAAACTAAATCCATGTGATGCCATAAACAATTATATTTTAATCCTCAATTTTAAAACCAGGGGAAAGGTAGGATCATTGTAGGATTTTAAAAAGCTTAAAAAGCTAATATTCCCACAGCTAATAGCTGCTTTACATTTATAGGTATCTACTTGGCTGTTTAAGTAATCTCAGCTTGTATTCCATTGACTAAATACGAGTTACATATTGAATAACCCCTTTTTTTTTTTTAAAGATGAAATTGCTTCTCACAATGCTACTGCAATATATATGTAAGAAACCCTGAGCACTGATCCTTCTTTGAACAGTTGCTGTCTCTCAGCCAGTCTTGAAGAGCAGAATACTCGTATTGTGAAGAGTGAAGTGTACATAACATGCGTCTACTTGTCCTAGGTGGAAACGAAAAGAAAGCCCTGCAATGCAGTTCCAGTATCCTCCGTGCCTTTCCTCAAATACCTATAGGGAAACACAAAGTATTAAGAATGCACTACTCAGATTAAAAATAAACAAAAGTCTCCACAATTAAACTGTAATTTGTCACTGTAATGAATAATTTTCAGCTTACCAAGACATTTCATTTACAGTTTACAGTACTTGCGCACTTGACAAAAAATCTTAATGCAAAAAGTTGCCCTTAAAAAACGAGGGGTGTTTCATCTAACTAATTCATGAAGCATTTTGATGATAAAAGTAGCCCTTAAACCCAGGAGAGCTTAAATCCCCATTCACACCGCCAGCGACACGCACCGACAAAGCAACAGGATCTCATTCATTTCAAAGGAAAGCTGGCGACATGAGCGACAGTGACCGTGTCTAGCGATGAGAGTCACGAGAGAAAAGTTTAACTTTATGCAAATGACAAGCGATTTTCTCGAGTGACAACCAATAGGTGTGAAGTCAGTGGAGCCCACATCATCCACCGCTCTTTAATGTCTGTCAGTGTCGAGGTAAACATGAAGAAGCTTCCCTATAATATATGAGATGTCTCTGTGTTCATACGGTGGTACTCGTCGTTCTGACGAGTAATAGTAGAAATGCCCACTAGCCATCCAACCACCAGCCACTGGAGACATGCAGCGAAACCGTCGCTGGCGGTGTGAACGGGGCTTAAGAAGTCCTTCTGAGGACTTTTAAAAATCATTCAGAAACAATCACTTCACAAAGAATGATTTATCAGGAGTTTCTAGCAAGGAGTTTTAGCTTGAAACCTATTCATAAAACAAAAGTTTTACCTCATGTAAGAATAAGGGGTGGAGATCTCAGTACTAAGGATGATGTCATATTTTATGAGCGTGCCCTTTTAAATCGTAAGTATATAGCTATAAAATACACTGTTGTTAAATAAGACACTGTCTGCCTGCATCTCTTAGGATGAGTCCTACTGGAAAAGAAAATTATTGTTTGTGAATTTGGCCCATGTAAAGTACATAGCTTAGTAGACAATAAACTAAATTTAAAAAAAAAAGTATTAACCTGTTTCACATAGGTAGCGATGTCCAAATTCGTAGATAAAGCCAGAAGTGAGCACTCCAGAGCCTCCCGTTGCATTGCGTCACTCATGTTTGCTTGATTGACCTGGAGTCTGAACGCCATGGTTGCTCTGAAGCCAAAATTAATTTAGATTTAAACTGACATTAAAGGAATAGTTCATCCAAAAATTAAAGATATTTTGAAGAATGTTTGTAACCAAACACTTTTGGAGCACCACTGACCTCCTTAATATTTTATGGAAGACAAAGGTGATATTTGTAGAATAGAAGTCTCTTTAAATCACAAATACAGTAAAAACAGTAGCATTGTGGAATATTGTTACAGTTTACAATAGTTGTCTGTTTTCTCTGTGAATATGTGTTAAACTGTAATTTATTCCTGTGATCAAAGCTGTATTTTCAGCATCATTACTCCAGTCTTCAGTTTCACATGATCTTCAGAAATCATTCTAATATGCTCATTTGCTACTCGAGAAACATTTCTGATTATTATCAATGTTGAAAACAGTTGTGCTGATTCATATTTTTTGTGGAATACATTTTATTTTTGGGATTGTTTGATAAATAACAGAAGAACAGTATTTATTTGAAACCAAAATCTTTTGTAACATTGTTACTCTTATTCTTGATCAATTTAATGTATCCTTGCAGTTTCTTTAAATCAAACTAACTCCAAACTTTTGAACACTATATCTTAAATAAAATTCTGTATTTTAATATCTTGCAAAAGAAATTCCTTACATTGTCTTACCTTATTTTTGTGGTTATTATATGACGATTCCTCACAGTCTCTGTGAAACTCTGGCTGTTTTTGACCAAAACTAGTGTAGAGGTAGGAAAAAAACAGGTTTTCATTTCACAACCAAAACACACTCTTCTCGCTTGACAACATTCCTTATAAAATGTGATGAAGGCTGAAGTATCATTAAAAAAAAAAAAAAAAAAGTAAATGGCATGTGGGACATTTACTAAAGGTCTTTTAGTATTTATTGCATGAATTAATAAAAATTGATCTAATACGTCACCTCAGCAAACACATGAAACCGCAAAATTATTACAGATATCAAAGCCGATGGACAAATGTGAAACAAACTTATTCCAGTTTTACATCAGAATGTTACATTGTTAAATTAGCAGCTCGTTCCCTTTCATGGGAACTTCGAACTGCGTCCTCTAGGGGTCGCTATGGGGACGCCTCGTCGTGACCCGTGTCTGAAGCATACATTGAAAAAACACCAACAACACGTTGGCCGGCGACAGCCATGACGTCA